CGAGGGACAGTGGGTATATTGGTTTGGACGTGTCCAGACGAGGGACAGTGTGTATATTGGTTTGGACGTGTCCAGAGGACGGACAGTGAGTATGTTGGTTTAGACATGTCCAGTGGGTATATTGGTTTGGACATGTCCAGTGGGTATATTGGTTTGGACGTGTCCAGAGGAGGGACAGTGAGTATGTTGGTTTGGACATATCCAATGGGTATATTGGTTTGGACATGTCCAGTGGGTATATTGGTTTGGACGTGTCCAGTGGGTATATTGGTTTGGACGTGTCCAGAGGAGGGACAGTGAGTATGTTGGTTTGGACGTGTCCAGTGGGTATATTGGTTTGGACGTGTCCAGTGGGTATATTGGTTTGGATGTGTCCAGTGGGTATACTGGTTTGGAAGTGTCCAGTGGGTATATTGGTTTGGACATGTCCAGTGGGTATATTGGTTTGGATGTGTCCAGTAGGTATATTGGTTTGGATGTGTCCAGTAGGTATATTTGTTTGGATGTGTCCAGTAGGTATATTTGTTTGGACGTGCCCAGTGGGTATATTGGTTATGACATTTCCAGTGGGTATATTGGTTTGGACATGTCCAGAGGAGGGACAGTGGGTATATTGGTTTGGATGTGTCCAGTGGGTATATTGGTGTGGACGTGTCCAGAGGGGGGACAGTGGGTATGTTGGTAAAAGGATGTTGGAGACAGAGAGATTATTGTCCCAAACTTTGCTCTGAAACCAGTTTTTGAAACAACTCTAAAGTTCTGAGATTAGAAGGAATATTTAAGTCATTAAAATATAAATCAATATTTTCCACAGGACTGTAGAGACAGAATCTGAAAACCAAACCCAGGCCACTTCACAGAAACACGTCCCCCTCAAGAGAATTTATTTATTGTTCATTTATTATTTATTGTACAAATGCACTGATTCATTTATCTAAACATTTCTGACAACAGAGGAAGCTTTAAAGATGCTGACATGATGCAATCATAAATTACAGCAGGMTGACGATGGTTACATCTTTCTTTAGAAACTAAATAAATAAAAAAGAGGGAATCGTTGAGGTTTTCATGAGATTTTCCTACAATAATTAAAAGGTTCAAGCATGACATTTGGTTCGTTTAGCAAAAAACATTAAATGAAACATAAATTTCAGAAAATCAAGCTAAAAATAAGCCAAACCATCAACAACAATTACAAACACACTGCAAATTTAAAAAAAGGGAATTAAAATTTTGTTTTAAACAGAAAAATGCATTTTAAAAAACAAATACAATAAAATGTCATGTAACTTTTATAAATGTTCCAAAATTTTCATTATTTTTTATTAATATATTGTACTTACTGACAACATTATCTGAATCCTTAAAGGGATTTTTCAGACATTTTGAAGTGTGGTTCTGTGGAAAAGTTATGAACAACAATATCTTACCTGTTGCAGATGATCTTTGACGAACCTCAGTTTAGAGAAACAGTTGACATATGACAGCTAACAGCTAGCTACTTAAACTGATTTATATGACTATCATTTGTCAGTTGAATGATGAGCTAATGGCTAGTCTGAGTCAAAATTTGATGTTAAAATATTGAGACATTTAAGCAAGTATTTTCTAGATCTTTAAATACCTTGCATGATATGATGGCTTACATCATTTGCTTATGAATTTTTAAAAAAAAACAGCAGCTAGCTGTATCATTTCCTGGGGTCACTTCTTACAGGAATAGCAGTGAAACGTGAAACAGAAAGTTTATAAAACAGCAATGAAGCTCAGAGGTCGTAGCTGCAGTCAGACTAGCTGTTAGCTCATCTGTTACTTTACTATTTATTGAGCTATCTACAACAGGTAAGATATTGATTATCTAAACACAAAACACCATTTCCAAGGAAGTTTTGTAATTTTATTTTACTAAATTGCTGCTGTGTATTTTTTTGTGTGTGCTTTTTTGTAACAGACATTATTCAGTTTTGTAGAAGTTTAACAAAGTAAGTGAAAGTCACTTACGACCCTTAGGTCGATGAAATGTTTATTCCAGGAGCCAKTGATAAAAGGAAACAGCTTAAGCAGAAACGATGGCAGTTTCACAAAATCCTCCAGTGAAGACACTACTGCTGTGCTGATAGCGACAAAATCATCAAGTTTACAGGAATGACACTGAAAACGGTCTCATTTGGTGCCGTTCGTCTGATACTTCGTCTTTGCTTGTAAAGAAGTAAAATAAATGTCTTGTTTTTTTGGACTGAAAATTAAGAAACAGACTTTTTTTTGGCACAAATTCATCAGAAGACTAACGTGAATAAATAACGCTGATCATAAAGTGACGTCTGTTTGAGACAGAAACACTCCTCGGCGTGTTTCTTAAGGTGCAGCTTCGTCTGGAGTTTGAGATGATTCAGGTGCTGATGCTGGTGTGGGTGGGCGGGGTCAGAGCACAGCCAGTCCGCCGTCACAGCGGCTGGTGATCATGTTACCCACCTCGGTCCACGTGTCCAGGTGGGGGTCGTAGATCTCCACAGAATCGATGGTCACCGGCGCAGAGAAGTCCCTGCTGGCGGCCCTTCCTCCCACCGCGTACAGCAGCCCGTTCACTGCCGACACCGAGGCGCCTGCGCGGGCCGTGGACATGGGCGCCACCTCCATCCATTTCTCCTGTGGAGAAAAACCACGTGTTTAAAGCAGGGGCGGACTGGCCATTGGGAGTACCGGGACTTTTCCCGCTGGGCCGGAGCATCACTGGGCCGGCACAGGCAGCGAAGAAAAAAAAGTTGTGTAGTTGCGCTCAATACCAGTAGATGGCGATAATGCACCAATTCATTGTTTACCAACCACCAACAAAGACTGAAGAAGAAAAGTTTGATGAAGAAGTAAGAAGAAGAAAACGAATAATAATAAAAATAAGAAGAGCAAAAATGGAGAATAAACATAAGGGAGAACAATAATTGAGAGAAAAGAAAAAAACATCTACAAGCAAATTCAGCCAAGTGTCAGAAACTGACATTTATTTTCTGCTCCTCATCCTCACTGGAACCTGAGTCTGGAGAACAACGTGACCGGGAGGASGATGGTAGTCATGTAGGTGGCTGTATTTGTCTCTAGTTTGCTAACTTTTAAAACAATGTATTTAGCTGTTAAATACATAAAGCCATTATCATGTGTGGACTAGGTCCAAACTGTGCTCAGTAGCTGATAATTTTAGGGGCGTCCGGGCATCTAACGGCCCCCTGTTCTGTTTTATGACTCCTGTCAGCTGCAACGTCTCAGGACATCATGTCAAAGCAGTCCAACAAGTTTTTTATTTTATTCTTTTACTCTGCATAAATTTTGTAAACTACCTAAGTGTTCGAGGGGCTGGGTGTATGTCAAAGAAACATCACAAACTGAACATTTCATGGTGAAAAATGTATTTTAGACTAACATGCCCCTCAGATGGACAGCTCCTGTTTGGTCTTCACTTTGGCCTTGGTTAAACCAGCTTTCCACACTCTCCAATCCAAGCAGCAAATATCTGTCTTCCACACAGAGTAAATTAACTTAAAACATATAAATGTTTTATTTGTTAGACTGTTTTATTTTTAAAAGACTATTTTATTCAAAAATATGATATTATTTAGATGGTTTCAGCTCATGTAATTATTTATTCTTCATATTTGATCATTTAATAAATTACATTTATCCCAGAAAAGCTGTATCACAGTATGGTCCTAAATAAAAACAAGTTTAGCAAATCAAGAACCTTGTTTTTTTGACTCTCTGCTTCAACCAAATCTGCTCCTACTGAAAGTCCCGCCCTGCTCTGCTCTGATTGGATAAAAAGGCTCTGGACATCGTCTGATTTGTTGAAGGCAGTGTACGTTTAATCCTTATATCAGGGTCCCGCTGTCAGGCTTTGTGAGCCCCGAACAATGATCCAGTTGTACCAGTACGACTGGATTTATTTTTATTTTTATTTTTAAAAGAAATCTGGTCGCACTCTAGAGCCCTGCTAGCTGTTGTTTTGACAGACAACCAGGTACAATCTRAGGTACGCAAGTGAGCTTTATGACGTTACATCTGGTGCGCTTTTTCCRTTTATGACCGCGCACCTGCGCACCGCTTATGTGCAACTCTGTTTATAAAACTGTGTTGCTTAAAATGTTTTAACATCAGTTTTAGAAATTTACATCATACATTGGCATTCTAAAAGATAAAAATCATAAATGTTTGTGGGTTTCACGAATAACTTTAACCACTTGGATTTTAATTTAATTAATTTAATTTAATGAATTAAGGTCTAATATACAATAACAGTAAATTAAAATGAAAAAAAAAATAGTTTAAATTCACACATTTCATGTGCTGTAAAAAGAAAATGATACCACATTAGATTACAATAATTTTATTTTTGGGGAATTAAATCAAAATGAGTCAAAAATGACCATATGGAACTCTGAGGGTCAATGTCTGTGAGCTAACTGCTGCTCTGCTATCTTTAATAACTTTACTAATTCCTCAACATTACATCCTTAGATATTGTACAGTGCCCTGAGATGACCTTTGTTGTTTCTGCCTCCACTATCGACCTCCAGCATTTGCAGACATCATCTGCCAGCCCGGACCTTGAATGGCCCAGTCAGGTACTACATTCCCAGGCCACTTTTTTTTTGCCCCAGTCCGCCCCTGGTTTAAAGTGCCCGTGACATCAAAATTTTAAAATAAACATGAATGTATTTTTGAAAAGACAACATTGATAGCATATTGTAAAAAAGATTTCATGCCACTGAGATGAACAGCTGTTGAGATATTCACATGTAAAAAAAACAGGAAGTGATGTCAAAGGGGAATGTCTGAATGTAAACAGAGRGTTGCTAAATGGCTAACAACACAGACTGTAGAGAAGAATCTGATGTTTCTTTAGATTATTTTAATCACTATCATAGAGAGATAAATCATAGTTCAAATATTGTTTCAATAAACAAAAACCAGGAAGTGTTCTTTCTCAAAGAGTTCCCCTTTGATGTCACTTCCTGTTTCACTTTAGCTGAGCAAAATTCAAAAGAAAATGTGCCAATTATGTGACATAAAGGGTCAAATCATGTGTATTATGCCAAGTTTCTTCAATATAAACACATTTTCTTTGATTTTTGTATTTCATGGATAAGCATGTCACAAGCACTTTAAAACCCACTCAAATCTGGAAGATTAAATTTAAAGTGAGCTAACCTCCTCAGGACAGAACTTCTCCACCGTCTCCAGTGCACCCAGCTCCTCGTTCCAGCCTCCCACTACGTAAATACAGTTGTTTAGGCAGGCCACGCCCACATAGGCCCGCCGTGAGAACATGATGGGCAGAGCGCTCCATCGGCGGGAGATGGGGTCGTAAACTTCAGCTGAACGCAGCTCCACCCCTTCATCACTGATCCCCCCGATAACGTAAATTAATCCTGGGAAGAAAAAAAAACAACTGGGTTCAGTTTATTTTTTACTGATTAATTTAAATTAAAACTCTGTTTGAATTCCAGGGGATACGGAATAATATAACAGTGTTTCCCCTAGAAAATTGGGCTTGGCGGGGGAGGGGGGCTACTTGTTTTATAAAAACATAAATTTACGTGACTCACCTGCAATTATGGTAATAAATTTACACATACAGTGGTTTGCAAAAGTATTCATACCCCTTGAACTTTTCCATATTTTGTCACATTACAACCAC